TATATATATATATATACTTTTTAGTTTTTTTCTATGAATTCTATTAGTTGTTATGATAAGTAAATAGGAATGGAAGTATAAATTCTTCTTTAATGGCTCATGTATGGATTATGATTTCTAAGTCTGATGTTAATATTTATATTCTCACAAATTATTTGAGCCAATTGATTGAGCAGATGTTGGAGTCGATATATACATATAAATTAGAATAAAATAGACTTAAACAATGTAAATATATAAAAGAAAATAATGACACTATTTGGGATTACTATTTACACAAAATAAAGTAAATTACAAAAATTAAAGGTAAAATATATTTGATTATTTTTTCCTTTAGGACATGTGCGTGGCAAAATAGAAATATTTAAATTACATTAAAAGTTTGTTTAATTGAGAAAATATTGATTCTTAAAAAATAAATTACTAAATAAAATTAAAACCCGTGAAGTTGAAGAGTTTTATCGAATACTCTTACTTATGAATAGTGATGTGAACAATTCATTATGTCATAAAGGTATAATTTAAATTGCTAAAAGCAAAGTAACTTTAATCGTATGGTTAAAATTGAAGTGACATTATAATTATTGAGCAAATTTCAGTCTAATTGTTCATCTATTGGTAACTCCCAAAAGTAAGAATATATTGATTGTCGAGAAATTATCATGTATGTATATATTAGTTTGTCTTTTCAACATTAAAACACTGAAGGTAATAATTTATGTAACTTAGGTTGATAGAAGAATGTTGTTGTGAGAGATACTTCTATTGAGATAATAATTAAATATATTTTTTATAATTTAAATTAAAATATGATTAAATATTTTTTAATTATTACTCCATATAGTATTATTTGTTTTAAAATAAATATTACATTTTCATTCATTTATATTACAGACTATATGTGAGGTTATTATATTTGAGTTTTCACTAATAGTTATTTATATGTATATTTTTTTATTAATTTAGTGGGATTACAACATTATCCGTACATTGTGCGATTACAATACTAGTTTATTATAAAAATGTTACGGGGAGCTCAGCTGTTGCCCTAGCCCATAAGGCAGTTACACAAAAAGAACTATTATCTGCGACTATATTCAATTTCCCCCCACTTTCCTCATCACTGGCTATATGTTACTAATATGGAAATTTCAAAATCTGTAAATACGTACTAATTTGTTCACATGTATATTTACTTTAAACCACGTTTTTCTTGTGAAAAACTATTATAACCATGTGGTGATAAGTAGGACTGCTTGGTACGTATTTATATATATATATATATATATATATATATATATATATCATCTAGTATCATATTAACAGTGGTGGAACCAAAAATTTATACAAGAGGATTAAAAAAAAACCCTAAGATGTCATAGTTGGAAGTTGAACCTATGATCTAAAATATTTTGAACCTCCTTTACTTATACTTGAATTTTTTTATTATATCAAGGTGATTCAATAACTCATGCAACCAAATAAAATTATTTTTATGCTATTTGTATTATGTAATTTTTCAACAAAGGGTCAATATCTACCTAGTACGGAGTACAACCAATGTATTTTAGTACTCCTACTTTAAACATATTATTTTGTACAGGTGTTTGGGAGTGCTCCGTCATTTGGAAAAGTTTATACCTTTTTTGGAAGATTTGCACGAATTTGTGCAATTCCTAAGTTTCTTCTTTCTTTTTTACTCCCTACTTCTCTTCTCTTTATTTCGGCAGACAGACGCAGTAAAATAATACATCACTCTTAAAAAGTTTTGTTCTTGTTCTTAATTTCCCCCCAGCTCACCAATCTTTGAGTTTGTTTTTTTTTTCTTTTGATTAATGGACACCCTCTAGACCCATCAGGTACGAAATATCGATTTCCATTTTTCTTTTTCTGATAATTTGGTTGGTGAAAATTTTATGATATTAAAACCCCAGCTTGATAAAATTGGGAATGAAAGGACTGATCTTTTTCTTTTCCGTGTCGCTTTTTCACAGAACCCAAATTGGGGAAAAAACGTTTAAAGGAGGAGGAAAAAGGACCAGTCTTGGGCACATAGTTGCTGAAAGAAGGAACAATCATGGCCGTGGGTGAGAACGGGTCGTTGAATCGGACGGACGGCAATGATTCTGCTGCCGTCGATCATCAGTCAAATCAGAACGGCGTGCCACGGTCAACGTTACCGATTGATCAGAATCTTCAGATAAAAACCACTGTCCAGCGTAAGCCTCAAATGGATGTATTTCAACAGCAACAACAAAGAATCAACGACAATGGAGTGCTGAGTCATCATCATAATCTTCATCATCAGAAAATGAACGGTGTTGATGAGGAAGGGTTTAAGAGCAGCAGGGAGATGAGGGATTTGGAGGAAATGTTCTCCAAACTGAACCCCATGGCTGCAGAGTTTGTTCCCCCCTCCCTCTCTTCCGACAACTACGGTGGAGTAGTGCCATTCCCTCCCGGTGGAGACCAATTTGGATTTGATGCTTTCAATTTTGCTGTGCAAGCTGGACTCTGTGGCGATGGAATTTCCAACAGAAGGGTAACTAATTTACTTATTTAGTAGCTACTAGAAAAAACTATGCATATGTAAGTGTTAGGTTCTCCAGTTTATGTATGTTAAACATAACTTGATAGCTTATAGTATTAGGAAATACCATAGTTGGTATATATCATGCAAGTACATAAAAATGAGAGGATGGTGTAGTCATTAAGGTCTAAAAAAGGAGGATGTTAGAAGTCTATGGTCAGTCACCTTTTTCAAACCTTGTTTTGTAATAAAATCGCTGTCTTGAGGGTCATGGCTAACAATTCGGGTTGAAATGGACTAGCAGAAGAGAAATGTCATGGTAGGAGAAGGATGAACGGCCGGACAACCATGGCCCAACGCGAAGAGGTTATAAGGAGGACTGTTTATGTGTCTGACATTGATCACCAGGTACTAAAAAAATGGGTACTTGTTCATTATTTCATTTAGTTATTTCACCTTCATCTTTTTTTCCCTGGAGACTAATTTTTCTTATTATATATAGGTGACTGAGGAGCAACTTGCTACACTTTTTCTTGCTTGTGGGCAGGTGAATATGTTTCTCGTTTGGTCACATTTTTGTTGGAGTTATTAATATGTTAATGAAATCTTTTGTTGCCATAACCTGACTAACCTTGATGTGCTGAAGGTGGTTGACTGTCGCATATGTGGAGACCCCAATTCTTTACTCCGTTTCGCCTTTATTGAATTTATTGATGAAGGTATCTTGAACCATAATCTTTGGTTTGACATTTTTTGGTGAAAGTTCTTGTTGTCTAACAGTGGCATTGTCCCACGTATGGTCTGCAGAAGGAGCAAGGAATGCCTTGAGTCTTGCAGGGACTATGCTTGGGTTTTACCCTGTGAGAGTGCTTCCCTCTAAAACTGCAATTGCACCAGTTAATCCAAAATTTCTTCCAAGGGTGAGAAAATGTGTATACTTTGGTACTTCCCTTTTGCAAAATTGCTGTTGAGGTGATGAATGGATACCTAGTGTTGCTAATACTATGTTATTTACCTTTGGCACTGATATGTAGTCCGAAGATGAAAGAGAGATGTGTGCAAGAACTATATACTGTACAAACATTGATACAAAGGTAATTTTGAGTTTGCAATCCGTGCTTCACATGGTTGAAGAGCTTCTTTGGGGATAAATGCTTTATGACTTGTTCATTTGTATGAAGCAGGTTACTCAAGGAGATGTCAAGCTCTTCTTTGAATCTTTTTGTGGAGAGGTTTGTAGCTTCTCACTGACTTGTCTCAAAGTGCCTGTCCTAGTTAAGGTCCTAACTCTACGCTGTTTCCTTCTCTAACACAGGTTAAGTGCTTGAGGTTGCTTGGTGACTATCGTTATTCCACTCGTATAGCTTTTGTCGAGTTTGTTATGGTAACTTCCATGAGCTTTTGTCTTTCACTATAAATGCTTGTAGTTTAGCATTCATATGATGTTATTTGATTCTTTTACATTCGAAGTGTAAAAACATTTTTGTCCCTTTTGGATAAGTTTATGTGGGTGAAGAAAGTTCTTTGTAGTAGTGTGGCCACTCCTGTGAATTTGAGATAATATTGACGTAAACTGAAGTTTGAAAGTTTTTCTCCTCTTGCTTGCGGAAATGCTAAGCTTATGTTGATATCTATCTTTGCCATGAGAAAGTAGTGCTATTCTCTTTAACTACATAACATGAGCCATGTGAGCATTACTTTCTCTCTGGAATAATATGAGAAAGGTCCATCATCTGCAGGTCAGTGACTCAGTTCTAATGTGCTTGTGTTTCTTTGTGAATTTAGCTAATGTGTTTTTTTATTGGTTGCTGCATTGTTAGAGTAGTAGAGTGATGAAAAATACAGGATATGGTACCGACTTGTGTTCAGTATAAATGTCTCTGGTATTTAGTTGTGTCGATTGAGTTACTGCTGGAAGGAGAGGGTTCCTTTGGTCGGCCACAAAAAAACAATTCCAATATGAAGTTTTTCATAACTAATACATATAAAGTATGAATAAAACTATGCATTACTAATGTAACTGTGCATAACTAATACAATATTTGTTTTCTAGTTAAAATTTATAATTGAGTCAATGTTTGATTTCAGGTATTAAATTATGCACTACTAATACTGACATAACTTTTGTGGGAATCAATGTATTATTATCTTCTGTGGGATAAAATGTGGAATAAGAATACGTTTATTAGTAATATCTCTGCAAGAGTATCGAAAAGATGTCCTTAAAGTAGACAACCCCTACGTACTATCCTTTACCATATAATACTTCTTACATTATTATTGACCGCAAAATAATTTTTGTAACAATTTACACATTCTTATCCACTGCCATAACAATCCTTGTATTATAATTCTTGCATAACTAATATGTTAGCAAAGGACCCTTAATTCCTTAACTAGGATGGGTATGAGGTCTTTTTGCCTTTCTATGTTTTAGTTATATGGGAAACAAATCGAAGGTCTCAGAATCACCAGATTTGGAGAAGGTGGATGTTTATTTTACAAGTTAAGATATCATTACTTTTATGAAAGAAACCCGAGGACACTATGTGCAATATTAATCACTTATAAAGTGGTTCTAGACAGCAGGAAAAAAGAAGTTGCCTGTGTTGTCATTTTGATCAGTTCAACAGGCATGTGGTATATTTGTCAGCTAATGAGTACATGCCAGTAGATTATTAGGAATTCACAGTAATGTTGGGTAAATAAAATTGCGATCTCGGTGATTTTGAGGCTGCTCAGCTCGGGTTGTTCTTGCATCTCTTAGTGACCAACTTTTAGCTGGTGCTTTGAGTGGGGGTCATGGCCTGATATACGTTTATGGCTATTGCTTTGACGGGAGCCCTTACGATTTTTACTATGTGGATGACTGGATTCTGTATGTCCTGACCACTTAAACGAAGCTGGAAGGGAAGTGCTTTATACTTGGTACTCCTATGTGAGATACTTCTGTAAAAAGTAGACCAGCTTTATCATCCAAGCAATCTTCAAATTGGAGAAAGTACTACTAATTTAGCACCCAAACTGTCGTGTGAAGTCTGGTTCCCATGATAAAGTATCTTCAATGTACTTGCATGAGGATATCTTATAATTTTTCTGTTCCTTGGTTGCTCTCAGCTAGCATGCTACCGCTTCATCCACAGCATTCGTTGACAATGGATATAGGGAACTATAAAAGAACTTCTATTAGTCTTTTTGGTGGAGGTTCCAGATTTGAACTTCCTCATGCACTCTCTAGATTTCTGGTGCAATCTGCATTCAGTTCTCGTTGATTCCTTTCAAAGCTGTGTTCTGTTGCCTTAACACACGTGGAATTTATGTTTTAAGGTGCCTGTGCCGCAAGTCAAAAATGGGATTTCTAGAGTATCCCACTTTCTGTTCTTGTATAGGAGGGTGCCACACTTCTATGTACCTCCTCCTAGTGATTAGTTGCAGTGCAATTTGTTTTGAGGACACTTCTGCTGTGGCAATGGCAGACTTTGAGGGTGTCAACTATCTTTGCTTGGCCTGTTATTTGAATTTAATGATCTCAATAATTGGTCCCAAAACTTAGTGGACTCCCCGTGATGTAATGTAATATATTTTAGCACGTGGCATTTCATGGCTATGATGTTTACATAGTTTCATGATGAATTTTCTGGTTGTTGCAGGCTGAGAGTGCCATTGCTGCACTGAACTGCAGTGGTGCAATATTGGGGTCACTCCCTATAAGGTAGCTCTCTGTTTCTAGTGCAAATCCTGCCGATGTCTTCTCTATTTCACTGACATCCATTAATCTTCAAACTTTTTGCATACTGCAGAGTGAGCCCATCAAAGACTCCTGTTCGACCACGTGCTCCTCGCCCTGCAGTGCAGTCATAAATCACTTTGCATTTCTCAGCTGATCTTATATCTAAATGCATACGTAGATACAAATACCACTAAGTACCTTGTGGCTTTTGTCATTTAGTTTATTCTCATTACTCAGCTGGGCATCTCTCACCCACCGGATACTTGTTCTTAAGGCTTGTACTGTTGGCAGGTTTATGAGTTCCTATGTTGATGTAATTAAAATCTGGTATACTATGTTTATCTAGGCAATGCCTCGAGTACGAGTACTGAGATGTTCTAACAGTGACTTTCTTCAGTGAGTTCCATGATATTCCTCTATCACATTGGTTTGTGATCCTGTGTTCTGCTCTTGTAAAATTTCTGATCTAGTTCCCTGGGATAGTGTATTAGTTAGACCATTGGGTGATGGAGCAAAATGACCAGTTGACCTTTTCTTCCTCTTCTCTGAATCAGTTTCTCATTCCTTTTTTTTAATAAATGTGACTACTGACTTGTTGAATCTAAGCTTTGCTAAATATGGGAGTATACTGAAGTGATTGCTAGCTGTGTGTAATGTGTTTCTGAAGTAGAGTAGTAGTTGTTTGTTAATGTTATCCTGAAGTACTTATTAGGGAGATCTAGTAAGTATTATGTGCGACAGAAACGGAGTATTTGTCTTCACCCGTAGTTTTCCTTCACGCCTATTTCTTCACCTAGGTGTGCGGATACATTATACACCCAATACATTATAGAGGAAAATAAACTCTTTTCGTTCACCTTTTAATGTTTGACCAAGGAGAGTATTAAATTTTTTTGAAGAGAATATGTTCGCCTTGAGAGCTCTTGACTGTTCCTTTTAGTTTTATGTTTTGCAGAATGTTTAATATAATGTTTTTAGCTTTTTTTGGATTTGGAAAAACATGCTTGGACTAATATTTCGACGCACTAAAGAATCTGCGGTATCAAGTTACCCCCTCTATTGGTTAGTAGGAAATACTTTGAGGGCTTAACGCGTTGGCAGAACTACTACTAGCTGGAAAAGGAAAACGAGAAAAGAATGAGAAACACAGTAGCTAAAACTATACTCGTATAAATATTTGCGCCAAGTTACATTTACAGAATGTTACAAAAAAACAACAAGAAGAAAACCGAAAACCATCAACTTTTTAGTTGATTTGCACGTCAATCACCTTCTTCTCAACTTTGGTCTTCGGAATTGAGATGAAAAGGACTCCATTCTTCAGTTCAGCTTTAATTTTATCTTTCTCAACATTATCTGGGAGACTTAAACGAGTATCGTAGGAGCTGTAATTCCTGCCCCAAGAGTTGTCATCTCCAGTCTCTTCCTTTTTGTATTCGCCTTTGATGACAAGCAAATCATCTTCCACAGATACCTTCACTTCATCTTTAGAGAGCCCCGGCATGTCAAAACGCATCTTGATTTCATTTTCATCGTCTTTGATGTCCCAAGGAGCACGTATTTCCCCTACTGCTGATGATCTGTTCCTTCCTGGGAATGTCATGGTATCCTCCAACAGTCTGTCCATAGTGTCCATCATCTGCCGCATTGTTCTCATCGGAGACATTGGGTCTAACAATCCTGTTTATCACATGAATAATAAGAAAACTTCCTAATGAAGCAGAGCTTAATCAAATGCTACTCTACCATCAACCACTACCAACTATCTTGATACACGAGCAATGACCTACTGGAATTGAATTTAACCAGTAACTATAGTACTAACATTGTGATCACTTCCACATCATCTAAGAATATTAAAGACTTGAACTCGATGGGTTAAAAATGAAGCATTTTGACGGGTTCGACCTTCATAGTTTTAGCACAAAAGACAGTACTCTTTTAGTGATGAGTTTTTGTTAGAATCGATTAGTTACGGTCTCTATAACATCACTATATAATATTTATTCCCTATAAAAGTCAAATTTTTCTCGAAATTGAATATTATATCATGTTATAATATATGTCATGTATAACATCACTGTAGCAACCAAAAAATTTCGCAACAAACGAGAATATTATAGATATATTTGACCGTATATTCCTATGATTCATCCGCCTCTAATAATTGGGACTAATAACCTAACAAATAACGTACAACAACGAATTTAAAGGCACTGATATTATAGTGTCAAATTCTTTAAATAGCTAAAGTTAAATACAATGGAAATACAGACAGTGCAGCTAAGCAGGCAGTAGTTGTTGGTGCAATGGAAATTAAATAGTACTCCTAAATGGTATAGCTAGTAGCTAAATGAGAGATACCGAAAGGGGAGACATCAAGAGACATCTTCCTAGGACGGCGGTCGACAGAAGTACTGCCTTGGTTGTTGTTTCCTCCTTGACCGCTGCTGACATGCACGTCAACTGAAGTATCTTTGTTATCTCCAGTTGCCTCAACTACAAGCCTAGACGCTGGCCTTTTCACGTTGCATGTGGATGGAAAGAAAACAGAGAAAGGCGCAGCTACCCTGTTGTTACTCCTAGAGGACGCTGTAACACCATTAACTACTAAAGGAGAAGCTGCTGAACATGTAAGAGTTTTGCAAGCCATTATAAAACTAAAAACAAATCCAGAAAGATAGCTCGATCACACGATATTTTTTTATGGATTGGTCTTGTTTTCTGTTGCTTATGTTGTGCAATAGGAGGTATTTATAGGGAGAAGAGACAAGGGTGTGGAGAAATCGTGAAGGTTTTAGATAATACTAGTACTAGCTAGCTAGGAATTAAGGTGATGACTGTTAAGTGTGACTGGGACCAAGGCACGGATTGCTCGATCGTTCTGGAATAATCGCTTATTTTCTAAATTTTACAAAGTAGGGTCTCCTTTTAAACCTTATTATGTTTTCACCCCACTCTTTGGTTTTATCTATATAGAATAGGAGAAGTAAAAGCACTATATTAAGACAAGTGATATAACCACAAAGAGCCAAGTGGCATTGTTATGACAAAATAAATTACCTTTTTAACTATTTTTTTTTTGAATTTTAAATTTTGAATTAATACACTACTTGAATTAATAAATACAAATATATTATAATTTATCTATAAAAAGACAAAAATATATAAAAATAAACTACTCAATCAAATTGGGGAGTAGTTTCAAGTTGAACTTTTAAAACTATTTTACAATAAAAAATAAAAATAATAAAAAATAAAAAACTATCAATTCAAATTGAAAAGTAATTTCTTCCTAATATAGTAGTGTGTGTGTGTGTGTGTGT